ATAAAGATTGAGAGAATTCAGAGTAATACATAATACACACACACACACAGATACACACACACACGTGTGTGTGTTTTCATATAGCAGAAAATGTGACAAAAGGCTTACTTAAAGTAAGATAGCTTATTATAGAACCACAGAATTTTAAGAGTTAGAAGCAGGGGTGCGATGGAGGCTACCAGTACAGCTCTTGCAAGAGCCAAATGTTATTGGATACAGTAACAGCAATATCATATGATGATCAAGTCTGGGTAACTTAGCTATTCTCAGGATTACAATGATCCAAGACAATTCTGAGGGATTTATGATGAAAAATGCTATCCATCTATAGACAAAGAACCGATGGAATCTTTTCTTTTCTTTATTTTTCTTGTCATGACTGACATGGAAATATGTTTTCCATGACTGCACATGGATAACCTATATCAAACTGCTTGCCTTTTCAATGAGGGGGAGGGGAGAGAGGGAGAAAATTTGGAATACAAAAATTTTAAAGAATAAATGTTAAAAATGTTTTTACATGTAACTGGGGAAAAATAAAATACTAAAATTTTTAAAAGAGCCAACTGTTAATCTTTCATTGTGAGCATTTACACCTCAGGAATTAGCACACACTGCAAATTAGGGCAGGACTTGATTTATTGTTTTGTTGATTGTCTAGAGTTAAGTGATGGAAACAAGTTAATAATGCAGATTAAACTTAAAAAAAATTCCCCTTAGCCAGAGTTGCAAAAGATAGAGGTCACCATCCTTTCTCTATTTTTTGTTATTAATGGTCCCCAGAGAAATCTCCATCTTCAACTCACATTTCCTCTACACTTCATGCTCCCTACTTTGGCAACTAATTGTCCTACTCTAATTTTTCTTATTTAGTCTGTCCTGGCCAAGGAGTCCTCAACCAAAAAGAGTGGTGCAGGAAAAGAATACTGGATTTGGAATCACAGAAATCAGGTTACAAACCTGCTTCAGCTACCTGACATATGAAACTGGTGAAGGCACTGCTTTGAGCCTCAATATTTTCATCTATAAAATGAGGGAATTGGACTAGATCAGTGGCATCTAACTCAAACAGCAAAGGGGGCTATTAATCCATATATGAAGACCCTTGCAGGGGCATATTAACGTAATTTTAAAATGTGATATTATCTATTGTTATTTCACTTGTATTTATTTTGCTAAATATTTCATCAGCATTTCTATATATTGCCAACAATTTCTAGCAGCAAGAGATAGAGAAATTCCATTTAAAATAACCGCAAGACAATATGAAAGACTAACTTGTCTCTGAAGTTTTCTCAATTTAGAGCACAAAAGTGCTAGACTTCAATTCTATCACCTCTCTCAGTTCTCTTCTCTAGAAGTTTCCAAATTGGTGAAATCACCTTTTAAGCACATGCTGAAAGTTCTTTAGGATAAGAATCTGAGAGAATCCAAGCCAACAGTCTCTTCATCGGTCATCAGAATTGTTGCAAGAATTTTCAGGGTCCTTGCTAACTACTGCTAGCTAAGCCAACACAGGTTATAGACAGGCAGAAACACTGCATTTTATTTATCCACTCAAAAGTATGACACACACCATCAATAAGTGATGGACATATGTTTCTCACAATTCCAAAGATAAGAGATAGATAGACAGACAGACAGATAGTCTCTACATAGGTCATGCAGGCAGATTATAAAGCAGTTTTGGGTAAGCTCATGTAGGGCACATAGGCAGGAAAAGATACATTTTTAGTAAAAGAAAAAGATGCTTAAACTGTTACAAAGACCTTTAACATAGATTTTCACACCACACCAAAGAAAACAGTATCCTCTTTATCACTCAGCAAATTAGCATTGTTAAGCTCCTATTATTTGCTTTATTAGATAGGATAAAGAGAAGCAGGTGAGTTCCTGGAACTATTCAAAGTCCTTTGAGTTTTCTTTTGCAACCTTAAAGAGACTGGAGCATAACAGCAAATATGGCACAAAATGGAATCAGTTATAGTCTCCTAAAAATCCATTTTCGATGCTACCTTTCTAGTATTCTTATTCATTATACCTCCTCCCTCAATGTTACTCCAAACTTACCTACAATCTAATTTACCAGCGACACTGGTATCCTTCCTATTTCTCATACAAGATACACCACCTCCCAGCTCTAAGCATTTTTGCTTGCTGTCTCTCATGCCCAGAACACTCTTCTTCAACTCTGCTTCCTAGCTTCCCTGGATTCCTTCAAGTCTGGGGAAAATCCCACCTTCTGTAAGAGGCTTTTCCTGATTCTCCTCCTCTCCCCTTCCCTATGTTGAGTATCTCCAATTTAACCTGCATGTATCTTGTTCGTACACAGTTTGATGATCTTCCCCTCATTAGATTGTGAGCTCCTGAGAACAAGGACTAATTTTTGCCTTTATTTGTATCCCCAGTGCTTATCTTAGAGCTTGGCACATAATTGTTAGTTGACTGACTGACATAAAAGGTTTCTGTTACAGAAATTCAGAGAAGGGAAAGATCCATTGATGCCAGGACCCTCAGGAAAGGAAGAGATCAGACTGTGAGATCAGACTTGAACTGGCATTAAAGACAGAAGAGAACTTGGGTTAAGAGGTGTACTTTATATACAATAGAATGGGCAAGCATTTAGTCATTCAATGAGCATGTATTAAATACTTACCATGTGCTAGGCAATGAGTATACACAGAACAAAAAGAATATAATTTCTACCCTCAAAAACCTTATAGTATGGGAGTAATTGCTTTGCTGCCCCATTTCTCTTCTGTTCTCTCTCCATAGTCACGCCCTGCTCCCCACTGCCATCTCTCCCAGCAAGTAGGTCTGGCCTGCATAGCATGAGGAGGAGAGCCCTGTGCGCCTCCACTTCACCTGCCTCTTAGAGCGTGCCATGGTCCCCTACAAGGGGTTGGGCAGGCTGCAGGTTATGACCTGTACAATGCCTATGATTATACAATACCATCCACGGAGAAAGCCCTCATAAAAACACACACTCAGAATTTTCTCCCTGCTAGGCTTTATGGTAAAGTTGCTCCACGTTCTGGCTTGGCTACAAAACATTTCATTGACGTGGGTGCTGGTGTCATAGATGAAAATTACAGAGGAGATGTTGGTGTTGTACTATTTCACTTTGGCAAAGTAACATTTGAAATGAAAAAAGGTGACTGGATTACACAGCTGATTTGTGAACCAGCTTTTTATCCAGAACTTGAAGAAGTCCAAGGCTTAGATGACACTGAATGTGGAGCAGAACGTTTTGGTTCTACTGGTCAGAACTAAAATAAAGAGTAGATATAGCAGCTTTCTTCCTAAAACAGTTAATAAAATGAATTTCCGCTTATTAAAAAAAACCTTATAGTCTGTTGGGGAGAAATAACATGTACACAGATAAGTACACACAAAATATATACAAAGTAAATTCAAAGTAGTTGAGAGAGAAGGGCATGAACAATTCAGTTAGGGGTAGGAGTGAGTAATCAGAATTTGCCTCTTATAAGAGGTGACACTTGAGTCTCCACTCAATGAAAGGTAGTGATTATGAGGTGAAAAGGGATGTTTTCACCTCAGACATGGGATTCAGTAAATGCTAGTTTTATAAAGACTTATTTGTCTGAGCTATTCAGTTGTACACAACAAACTAAGATCAGTGTTTCTTCTGAAAGGTCTAATTAAGTCTCCACAAAATTCCGTGCCTAAGAACCTCTGAGCTATTGCATAGAAGCCATAGCACAGCAAGCACTGGATCTGTAGTGGAAAGATGCTGGGTTCTGCTCTTTGTTTTGTAACTTAAATCTTGGAGGGGTGTAGGGTGTGCTCAGGGAAGACTAATACTATTGGTATAAGGGCTGCTGAGCCCTTTTCAGGGCTGCTTTCCACCTCTGGTGTCCACCTAATTCACGCAACTCTCACCTGTGGCTCCAAGAAACTGTAGCATGCTCAGTGGCCACATCCCAGTAAACTGTTTTGGCAGATGGGCTAAAACAGGTTGAGAGCAACCAATGGGTCTCAAAACTTTTAGTGAGTTAGGCGGGTATCTACCTCAATCATGTAAAGACGTCCCCAGCAGAATGGGTGGATGTAAACAATTTGGGTGTCTGAGCAGCCTTTTAAGGACCACATTGTTCACCTCCTAATATGAGGAAGGAGCTAGAAAAGGTCATTGTAAGGAGAAGAGACAGACAGATGTGAGAGTGACAAAGGTGATATGTGGTACAGAGTGCTAGGCTGATCATAGACTTATCCTCTCTAAGCTAAATATTCACATTCAACAAGAGGGGTGGCCCCAAGGCAAGATGACTACAAGATTTAATATCAACAGATTATAGCACTTCTCCAAGCAGGAACAGTTCATTGCTAACTGGGAGGGAAAGCTGCGCAACATTTGGTTGGCAACAGTGGAGCAGAAAAGGAATGGGCAGCTTTAAGAGATTTGATGTACAGCACTGCATTTACTCATCTGGCCCAGAACACTCACAAACAAGACTGATTTGATGAAAATGATAGGGAAATTCAGAAGCTGCTAAATGAAAAACAAGAACACCACACAGGGTTTACCAGCAAGATAGCTCACCCATCTCTAAGAAGGCAGTGTTTTAACTCCATCAAAAGTAAAGTGCAAGCAAAGCTTAGAGAGATGAGGGATTCTTGGCTCAGTAAGAAGGCAGATGAAATTCAGTTTTATGCTGATAGTAACAATCCAAAACACTTTTGTGATGCCCTGAAGGCTATTTATGGCCAAAGACCTATGGGGCATCTCAACTACTCAGTGCTGATGGAACCACATTGATTAGTGAAAAGGACATGATCCTGGAGAGATGGGCTGAACACTCCCCTAGTGTTCACAACAGACTGTCATCAATCAATGCTGAAATCATATACTTCATATACTTCAGGTTGAAATCAATCCCTCTCTAGCTGAATTTCCAACTGAAGAAGTTTTGAAGGCCAGTAGGCTCCTCTCATATGGCAAAGCACCTGGTGCTGATTCTATTCCAGCTGAGACTTACAAGGCAGGGCGTCCACTGCTCATACAAGAGCTGATTGAAATTTTCCGAGTTATGTGGCAAGACGAAGTTATTCCCCAGGAATTCAAGGATGCCTCCCTTCAATAATGTGGTTCTTCAAGCAAATTTTGTCTCTTCTTCATTTGTGGGTCTTCCTAGGACTTCAAGAAAATTATTTTATAGCATGGTAATTTACATTTGTGAGCAACTAGATGACACAGTATATAGAGAACTGGGCCTGGAGTACAGGAACCTTTGCCAAGAAAACTCCAAATGGGGTCCAGAAAAGTCTGCACATTGAAACGACTTGACAATTTACATTTATTAGTATCTGCTTCACTGCAGCATCCTAAAGACCATGGATAGTTTCCATCTGACTTGCCGCTGAAATTCTGTTATTCTCCTTCCATCAGAATACAAGCTCTTTGAGAACAGATATTATCTGACTTTTCTATTTGTGACCCCAGCATTTAGGACAGTGGTTTTGCTTCCAGTCGTGAGTTATTAACTGTATCCCATTGAACAAAACTCAGTTTCTTTCCTTCTCTGTAAAATGGACACAATAATAATAATGGCATGGCACCCTCCCAAGGTAGTTTTATGATATGAGACAACAGTTGTAAATTGTTTCAACAAACCTTAATGTGCTATAAAATACCAGCTATTATTAGTAAACACTTCATTTATTCATTCATTCATTTTGAGCCCCCAAACCGGAACTGGTGGCTTTAGGACTACTAATTTCAGATACCCTCTGAGCACAGCGCCTAGCACAATAAAGGACGTCTAATAAATGTTTACTGAGTGAGTGAATAAGTAACCGAAATCCTGGGGTGCAGGCCCTTCCGAAAGGAGCCAAACCTAGTTTGCCCGCGCCTGCTCAGAAAAGCTTGGGTTCCCTCCTCCTCCCCCCGACACCCCAGGTCTGGGGACAAAAAGCCGGGGCCCAAGCCCTTACAAAACAAAAACAGATACAGAACGCAGAGGCGCCCGATGCTCGCGGCAATTAGGGCGCGGCTCTCTAGGAGAGACCCCAAGGAGCGAGAGGCGAAGCGGTTGGGGTCCTGGGCGGCGACTGGCGGCTGGCGGTGGATCGGAGTTCCGGTGGGGGGGGGGGCTGGTAGGCCTGGCCCGGACAGAAAGGCTCGGGCAGATGGGACTAGGAGGGGAGACGCTGCAACGGGGCCGGGGGGGGGGCACTCACAGGTCCAGGAGGTGACTGACCCGCCGGGAATGAGGCATGGCGGCCTAAGGACTAGCTCTGAGTCTCCGATCCAATTCCCTCAAATCCCAAGTTAGCTGGGCCACAGCCCTGACACTCCGCCCCTCCCATCGCGGGACCATGGCTGACGTCAGCGACATTCTTTCTAGAGGGCGGAAGCAGCTGGGGGAAAGGGGTGGGGCCATGAAAAGTACCTAGACTCTTGACAGCCCTATCCTCCTGAAGCCTCATGGTAATTGTAGTCCAAGCTTTGGCTTTGAAGGCTACCTGAGGGAAAGAACATGGGATTTGTTGACAGGATACTTGGTTTTGAATCTCGGCCTTAAAAATTACTAATTTTTTTTATTATTATAAATTTATTTATTTTTAGTTTTCAACATTCACTTCCACAAGTTTTTGAGTTCCAAATTTTCACCCCATCTCACCCCTCCCCCCACCCCAAGATGGCATGCATTCTGAATACACCTTCCCCTAGTCTGTCCTCTCCTATCTCTTCCCCCCTCCTTCTCTTATCCCCTTCCCCTTCTATTTTCCTGTAGGGCAGGAAAGACTTCTGTACCCCATTTCCTGTATTTCTTATTTCCCAGTTGCATGTGAAAACACTTTTTTTAAACATATGTTTTTAAAACTTTAGATTTCAAATTTTCTCTCTTCCTCCTCCTCGCCCACCCTCATTGAAAAGGCAAGCAACTCAGTATAGGTTGTACACGTGCAGTTACGCAAAACACTTCCATAGTAGACTTGTTGTGAAAAACTAACTCTATTTCCCTTAATCCTATCCTGCCCTCCCATTTATTCTATTCTTTCTTTTCACCCTGTCCCTCCTCAGAAGTATTTACTTCTGATTACCCCCTTTCCCAATCTGCCCTCCTCTCTATCATCCCCCTGCTCTCTTGTCCCCTTCCCCCCCTACTTTCCTGTAGGGTAAGACAGATTTCCATACCCAATTGCATGTGTATGTTATTCCCTCCTTAAGCCAAATCCTATGAGAATAAGATTCACTCATTCCCTCTCACCTTCCCCCATTTCCCCTCCACTGTAAGAATCTTCTTTTCTGTTTTTTTTGTGAGATAATTTACCCCATTCTACTTCTCCCTTTCTTCTTCTCCAAGCATAATCCTCCCTCATCCCTTAATATTATTCTCCAGATATGACCCCTTCATCTTCAACTCACTTTGTGCCCTCTATCTATCTATCTATCTATCTATCTATCTATCTATCTATCTATCTATTTATCATCTATCTATCTATCTATCTATCTATCTATTTTATCTATCTATACATGCATATAATTTTTTTCCTCCAACTACCCTAATACTGACAAAGGTCTCATGAGTTATAAATATCATCTTTCCATGCAGGAATGTAAACAGTTCAATCTTAATGAGTCTCTTATGATTTCTCTTTCCTGTTTACCTCTTCATGTTCCACTTGAGTCCTGTATTTGAAAGTCAAATTTTCTATTCAGCTCTGGTCTTTCATCAGGAATGCTTGAAAGTCCTCTATTTCACTGAATGACCATTTTTTCCCCTGAAGGATTATACTCAGTTTTGCTGGGTAGGTAATTCTTGGTTGTAATCCTACTGGAATTTGGCTACAATATTCCTAGGAGTTTTCCTTTGGGAATCTCTTTCAGGAAGAGATCTGTGGATTCTTTCCATTTCTATTTTGCCCTCTGGTTCTAATATATCAGGGCAGTTTTCCTTGACAATTTCTTGAAAGATGATGTCTAGGCTCTTTTTTGATCATGGCTTTCAGATAGTCCAATAATTTTTAAATTCTCTCTTCTGGATCTATTTTCCAGGTCAGTTGTTTTTCCAATGAGATATTTCACATTGTTTTCTAATTTTTCATTCTTTTGGATTTGTTCTACTGTGTCGTGATTTCTCATTAAGTCACTAGCTTCCAATTGCTCTATTCTAATTTTTAAGGAAGTATTTTCTTCAGTAGTCTTTTGGACTTCCTTTTCCCTTTGGCCAATTCTGCTTTTTAGGGCATTCTTCTCCTCATTGGATTTTTGGACCTCTTTTGCCATTTGGGTTAGGCTACTTTTTAAGGCGTTATTTTCTTCAGTTATTTTTGTGGGTCTCTTTTAGCAAGCTGTTGACTTGTTTTTCATGATTTTCTTGCATCACTCTCATTTCTCTTCCCAGTTTTTCCTCTACTTCTCTTACTTGCTTCTCAAAATCCCTTTTGAGCTCTTCCAAGGCCTGGGACTGATTCATATTTTTCTTGGAGGCTTTGGATGTAGAAGCTTTGACTTTTTTGCCTTCTTCTGGTTGTATGTTTTGATCTTCTTTGTCACCAAAATAAGATAATATAATCTGACTCTTTTTGCACTGCTTGCTCATGATCCCAGCCAATTACTTGAGTTTTAAACTCTTTGTTAAGGTAAGAGTCTGCTTCCAATGTGGAAACCGTATAGCTGTTTTCAGAGATACTTGTACAGATCTTAAAATTTTCAGTTCTTCCAAGGTGGAATGATAAGGGGCAAGGTGTTCATTCCTTTCCTGGCCTGTGACCCCGAGTATTCCTTTCTATTCTGTAACTGTGAGGAGGGATTCCTCTCTACAGCCACTACAAGCTCCTCCACACCAGCACTCCTCCTCACCCCAGCCCCGCCTCCCAGAACTGTGACCCAGATCCAAACACAGGCAAAGGAAGAGATTCTTGCCTCAGCACTGGCAAACAGATCCCTGCAATCCCTCTCTGATCAACCACTGGATTCCCCCTCAGTCTGCGGGCCAGAAGCTTGGGAAGCAGCTGCCGCCTCCCCCCCCAGCCATGCTCTTGGGGAATGGAGCTGAGACCCCACCTTCCTCTCTCAGCACCGACAGAAAAAGACTTTTCCCACTGACCTTCTAAGTTGTCTTTGGCATTTGTGGATTGAGGAGTCTGGAAACCATCACAGCTGCCTTTGATTCAGTCCTCTGAGGTCTGCTCCAAGTTTGCTGCAGCTGTGTGCCCACACCGCGCTGTGCTGCGCTCCCAACCCGGCACAATACACCTTTCTGATCATTCATCCAGGTTGTCTTGGGCTGGAAATTTGTTTCACTCTGTCTTTTTATGGGTTCTGCTGCTTCAGAAGTTGTTTAGAGCCATTTTTTATGAGTATTTGGAGTAGTTTAGGGGAGAGTTCAAGCAAGTCACTGCTTTCACTCCACATCTTGGCTCTGCCCCCAATTACTAATTCTTTTGACAAATCACTTAGCCTCTTCTATCCTCAGTTTCTTCTGTAAAATTCTGTAAGATTTTGGATTAGATGAGCTCTATAGACCTTTCTTCTCCATTCATATTCTTTGGGTTTTTAAAAAATTAATTCTTTCTTTTCTTTCAAATTTATTTTTGGCTAGGCAATGGGGTTAAGTGACTTACCCAAGGTCACACAGCTAGTAAGTGTTATGTGTCTGAGGCCGGATTTGAACTCAGGTCCTCCTGAATCCAGGGCCAGTGCTCTATCCACTGTGCCACCTAACTGCCCCCTTTAACATTAATTCTTAAACATCCACAAACTAAACATCCACCTTCTTTGTCTCCCTACCCGTTTTCTCCTCTCCTCAAACTGAGAAATCAAGAAAAACAAAACTCCTGTTGCAAACATGGATAGTCAAGTAAAACAAATTTCTACATGGGCTGGGTTCCCCTCCAACTATGTTTCAGTCTGCACTTACTCATTCAGCTCTCTCTATCAGCAAAGTGGTATGGAGGCATATGTTTCATCCTGAGTCCTCTGAAATCATGGTTGATCATTACACCCAGAGTTTTGAAGTCTTTCAGAGTTATTAACCTGATAATATTTTTATCATTGTTTAAATTGTTCTCTTGGTTCTGTTTACTGTACTCTACATTAGTTCATGTAAGTCTTTCCAGGTTTCTCTGAAACCTTTTGCTTTATAATTTCCTACAGTTGTTATACAAACCCCAGACTCAATTCAGAATTCAGCCCAAGACTGGGCTCAGTGAATTCCCAGAACAAGAGTTAGCTGGGTCATAAAGAAATCACAGTAGTGGAGTGAGAGAAGACATACTTTTATTAGCAATTCTCCCGAGAACTGGGTGTGTTCCCTCATTGGAAACACATACCTATACAGAATCAGGGCAAGCTGTTATATAGGATTACTTGGCTTTAACCCCCAACTTGTCCCAACATTTCTGTACAACCTATTTAATGTCTGTGTTTGCAATGCAATATCTATTGCTTCTATAGAGTCTGTGAAAACCAATTTCCCCCTTGATGGGGTGTGGCCCAAACTGAGATCTTAGCCCCTTGCCCCAAAGGGAATCTGACTCCCATTTATCTACAGTCCCCAGCCCTTCATCTCCCTTTGAAAGCCTTAGCCTTACCTTTTAATCTTATTCAGATGCACCTTTGCCCCTCGCCCTAAAAGAATCTGCCTTCCTTTTGTCTATGGGCCCCAGAAAGGCCTTACTCTCTCTCAAAAGGTTCCTTATCAACTCCCCTTATCTCCCTTTGAAAGTCCTAGCCCCACCCTTTGATCTTGTGCAGATGCCTTTCAAACTTCTGCCTTCCTGTTCCCTCCGTTAGCTATTCCCATTGTCTATTCAATCTCTCAGACCTTCCAATCAGAATTCTCACCTAGACTCTTTTCCCAACCCCCTTCTTTGGCCACCCAAAGTTACTTTCAGTGTATAAAAATTCCACCCTAGCCCTATTCAGATGCTTAGAATCTCAAGCCCAAAAGACTGAGACTTTCTCATGCCTGTCCTTGCGGGTCTCACCTGGCCTATGTATCACTAATAAACTTTTCCTCTGGCTGAAAGAAGATTTGAGTTGAATTCATTCAGGCAGGGCCTGGTACTGTGATCTTGGGGTTGCAGCACCCCAAAGTTCTAGACCTCTTCACCCCCCGTATTTGTGTAAACCAGTAAACCAATAAACCAGTCTCCCCATTCTCTTTACATATTTGTGTAAACCAGTAAACCAATAAAACAACAAACTAATAAATCAATTAATCAATAACCTAATCTCCCCCTGTCCTGTTTTCTTATCAATTCTGTGGGAACCAAACTGTTAGTATTTCTCACACAATGTTGAGGTTTACAGTTGGGAGAACTGGTTCAGGTGTGAAAGAATTCACTTAGACCTTCTCTATAACCATGGGGAGCTTTATTGATGA